AACCTCAAGGCCACTACCGTCTTGTGCTGCGTGGTCTGGGTCGTTACTCTTTGCTCCTTCAAAAATTCCCACATAACACTGAAGTATAGTTGACACACCAAATGTTACTTTATTAAGCTTATTTATTTATTTTTTAGAGAAAGAGAGTGGGAATAGGGGTGGGAGGGCCCCAGGGAGGGAGAATCCTAAGCAGACTCCTTGCCGGGCATGGGTCCCAGTGCGGGGCTTGATCTCAAGACCCTGAGATCATGACCTGAGCCAAAACAAAGAGCTGGACTCTTAGCTGCCTGAGCCACCCAGATGCCCCACCAGATGTTGCTTTAGTTTCAGGTATACAGCTTAGTGATTGCACAAGGTTATCCAGTCATGCTCTACTCACCCCAGTGTAGTGACCATCGGTCACCCTACAGCGCTGCTACAGTACCATTGACTGTATCTCCTGTGCTGTACCTTTCCTTCCCATGACTTATTCATTCCATAACTGGAAGCTTGTGCTTTCCACTCACCTTCACCCATTTTGCCCATCCCTCCACCTTCCTCCCCTCTGGCAACCATCAATTCTCCGCATTTAAGAATCTGTTTCTGCTTTTTGTTTATTTGTTTTGCTTTTTAAATCCTACATATAAATGAAATTACATGGTATTTGTCTTTCTCTGACTTATTTCATTTGGATAATACCCTCTAGCTCCATCCATGTTGTTACAAACGGCAAAAATCTTTTTCATTGCTGAGTAACACTCCATTGTTTGAATATACATCTTTTTTGTTCATTCATCTATCAAGGGATACTTGGGTTGTTTTCCATAATTTGATTATTGTAAGTAATGCTGCAATAAACATAGAGGTGCATAGATCTGTTCAGATTAGTGTTGCCATTTTCTTTGGGTAAATACCCAATAGTGGAATACTGGATAATATGTGATCTCTATTGTTAAATTTTTGAGGAACCTCCATGCTGTTTTCCATTGTGACTGCACCAATTTACATTTCCACCAACAGTGCACAAAAGTTCCTTTTTCTCCACATCCTTGCCAATACTTATTTCTTATCTTTCTAAGACCAGCCATTCTGACAGGTGTAAAGTGATATCTCATTATGGATTTGATTTGCATTTCCCTGATTATTAGTGATGCTTAGCATTTTTTCATGTGTCTGTGAGCCATCTATATGCCTTCTTTGGGAAAATGTCTGCTCAGGCCCTCTGTCCATTTTTCAGTCAGATTGTGGGTTTTATTGGTGTTGAGTTGCATTAGTTCTGGCATAATGTTTTAGACATTAAACCCTTATTGGATATATCATTTGCAAATATCTTTTCCCATTTAGTAGGTTGCCTTTTTGATTTGTTGGTTTCTTCTTGGCAAAGGTCTTTATTTTAGTGTACTCTCAGTAGCTTATTTTTGCTTTTGTCTCCCTTGCCTGAGAAGACATATCTAGAAAAATGTTGGCTGGGGCTGATGTCAAACAGATTATTGCCCATGTTTTCTTCTAGGAACTTTATGGTTTTAGGTCTTACATTTAGTTCTTTAATCCATTTTTATTTTTGTGTATGATGTAAGAAAATGGCCTACTTTCATTCTTTTGTATGTCATATTGAAGGGACTGTCTTTTCCTTAGTGTATATTCTTGCCTCCTTTGTCATAGGGTAATTGACCATATAATCATGGATATATTTCTGGGCTCTCTATTCTGTCCCATTGATCTATTTTTGTGCTGGTACAATACTATATATTTTTTTTTTAAAGACTTTATTTATTTATTTGACAGACTGAGATCACAAGTAGGCAGAGAGAGAGAGGGAAGCAGGCTCCCTGCAGAGCAGAGAGCCCGATGCAGGGCTCGATCCCAGGCCCCTGGGTTCATGACCTGAGCCGAAGGCAGAGGCTTTAACCCACTGAGCCACCCAGGTGCCCCTGGTACAATACTATATTGATTGCTATAGCTTTATAGTATATCTTGAAATCCAGGATTGTGACACTTCCAGCTTTGTTTTTCTTTCTCAAGGCTGCTTTGGCTATTCAGGGTCTTTGTGGTTCCATACAAATTTTAGGATTATTTTTGTTTTAGTTCTTTGAAAAATGCTATTGGTATTTTGATAAGGATTGCACTGAATCTGTAGATTGCCTTGGATAGAATGGGCATTTTAATATTTTAACAACATTAATTCTTCTAATCCATGAGCGTGGAATGTCATTCCATTTGTGTCATCTTCAATTTCTTTCATCCGTGTTTTTGGTGCAATTGTAAATGGGATTGTTTTCTTAATTTCTTTCTGCCACTTTGTTATTAGTACACTATACACTAATAACAAAGTGGCAGAAAGAAATTAAGAAAACAATCCCATATTGTTTTCCGTATAATAATTTTGTATTAATATACAAATATAGCTTTCCGTATATTAATTTTGTAAACTGCAGCTTCCAAATTCATTTATCCTAATGGTTTTTTGGTGGAGTGTTTAGGGTTTTCCTTTTTTAAAAAATATTTTATTTTAGAAAGCTCATGGGCAGGGGGAGGAGCAGAGGGAGAGAATCTTCAGGCAGACTCCCTGCTGAGTGCAGAGCCCAACGCAGGACTTGATCTCATGACCCATGAGATCTTGACCTGAGCCAAAAACCAAGAGCCAGACGTTTAATCAACTGAGCCGCCCAGGTTCCCCTAGGGTTTTCTATATATAGTAAGTTTACCCGTTCCTTACCAGTATTTATGCCTTTATTTCTTTTTCTTGTCTGATTGCTGCCGCTAGAACTTCCAGAACCATGTTAAATAGAAGTGGCAAGAATGGACATTCTTATCTTATTTCTGATGTTAGAGGAAAAGCTCTTAGTTTTTTTCACCACCAAATATGATGTTAGCTCTGGGCTTGTCATATGTGGTCTTTATTATGTTGAGGTATGTTCCCTCTAAACTCACTTTGTTGAGAATTTTTATTATGATTAAATGATGAATTTTAATGCTTTTTATGCATCTCTTGAGATGATATGATTTTTACCCTTCATTTTGTTAATGTGGTGTATTACATGGATTGTTTTGCCAACATTGAACCATCCTTTGCATCCCCAGAAAAATCCCAGTTGATCATGGTAAATGATTCATTTCATGTATTATTTAACGAGGTTTGCTGATATTTTGTTAGATATTTGCATCTGTGTGCATCAGAGCTATTGGCCTATAGTTTTTTTGTAATTCTCTGGTAAGCTTTACTTCCTCTTCTATTTTTTGGAATAATTTGAGGAGACTAGGTATTAACTCTTCTTTAAATGTTTAATAGAATTCACCTGTGAATCCATCTGGTCCTGGACTTTTATTGTTGTGGAGTTTTTGATTACCAATTTAGTTTCATTACTAGCAATTGATATGTTCAGATTTTCTATATCTTCCTGATTTAGTTTTGAAAGACTGTACGTTTTTAGGATTTTATCCATTTCTTCTAGATTATCCAGTTTGTTGGTGTATAATTTTTGTAGTAGTCTCTTTTATATTTCTGTGGTGTTGGCTGTTTTCCTTTATTTCTAATTTTATTTTGTCCTCATTTTTCTTAATGAGTCTGGCTAAATGTCAGTTTTTCTATTGTGTTTTTACTCGATATTTCCTTTGTTTTTGTTCTAATCTTTATTATTTCCTTCCTTCTACCAACTTTGAGTTTTTTTCCTTTTTCTCTAGTTCCTTTAGGTACATCTGTATTGCTATAAATTTCCCTTTAGATGTCCCTTGGGGCATCCATAAGATTTGGATCACTGTGTCTTTATTTCCTGATTTTTGGTTGAGTAGCATGGTGTTCCGTCTCCACATGTTTGTGTTTTTTTCCAGTTTTCTTTCTTGTAATTGATTTCTAGTTTCACATGGTTGTGGTCAGAAATGATGCATGATAGGATTTCAGTCTTCTTAAATTTATTGAGACTCGTTTTGTGGCCTAACATGTGATCTAGCCTAGAGAATGTACAATGCACACTTGAATGTGCATTCTGGTTTTGGATGGGATGTTCTGTATATAATCTGTTAAGTCCATCTGGTCTAATGTAGCATTCAAAGACACTTCTCCCTTTTAAAGGGAAAAAAATGACAATAATATATAAGAGACATTAACATCCACTTACATCAATGGATAGACCATCCAGGCAGAAAATAAATATCTGTTAATACTTGCTTTATGTATTTAGATATTCCAGTGTTGGATGCATGGATCTTTACAGTTAGATCTTTAGATCCTCCTGTTGGATTGATGATCCCTTCATCTTTATATAATGTCCTTCTTTGTGTCTTGTTACAGTCTTTGTCTTAAAGTCTATTTTGTCTGATATAAGTATTGCTACCCCAGCTTTTTATAAGTATGTATCTGTCAATAATTAGTTTAAATGTAAATGGTCTAAATGCTCCTTGTCATGATTTTGATGCTTGCAGAAGCCCTTGAAGAACTCCAGAAAGTTTAAATGATCCTTTGATGGGGCACCTGGGTGGCTCAGTCGGTTAAGCATCCTTGGGTGAAGTAGCATTACAAATGTCATCTGCAGGTTCTGTTCCTACTTACAGAGTAGATGTTCTGTTAAATGTTAATTAAATACTTTAAATATTTTAATATCCTGAACATACATGAGTCAGTTATTTGAAAGGGCACTTTGTGTTTTGGTTATGCTGCAAAATTTGAATATGCAGGTTAATTATGGTGTTATCACTAGTGCTCCATCAATATGAATTTTACCTCAATGTTCTGCAAGCAGGCAGGAATGTTGCAATTATTAGGGAATCAGAACCGTTTAACCTTTATGGCTAGCAAAATAGTATAAGTAATGGTAAATATTTATTTTTTCTGCAACAGATAATCTTTTCCCCTCTGAAATGAAGTATGCTTAGGCTCAATCCAAGCCTTGGCAATATTTTTAAAAGAAAAGAAAAAAGAGGAATGGCTCATCTGATGTAGCAAAAACACATATAGATAGCCAGAACAAAGGAGCCTTTATGCCTTATCTTAATTTTATCACCTTCTGTTGTCAATTTTTCCCCAGGCCCAGATTATATCAAACAGAGATTTCAGGAAGGTGTAGATGCTAAAGAGAATCCAGAAGAAAAAGTACCAGAAAAGCCACCTACACCAAAGGAGTCTCCGCATTTTTATCGCAAAGGCACGACACCCCCCAGGTCTCCTGAAGCAAGTCCCAAGCAAAGCCACTCACCCCAGCCCTCCTCCCCAAAACCCACCAAGAAGCAGAACCCCAGCTCAGGGGCAAGACTCAACCAAGACAAACGGAGTGTGGCTGATGAGCATGTGACCCCCGTCGTCAATAAGCCTTTGATGTCAAAGGCTCCCACGAAGGAAGTAGGAGTCATGGTGCCCACGTCCAAGTACTCTGGCCGCCACCACATCCCCAACCCCAGTAATGGGGAACTGCATTCTCAGTACCACGGCTACTATGTGAAACTGAACGCTCCCCAGCACCCCCCAGAAGACATAGAGGAAGAGGAAGGATCAAGCCTGTCTTCCTCAGCGCTGGTGCACAAGCCGTCACCCAACAAATGGAGTCCCCCTAAATCTGTGACAAAACCAGTTGCCAAAGAAAGCAAAGCTGAGCCAAAAGCTAAGAAGTCTGAACTTGTTATACCAAAGAATCCAACAAACAACGATTCATGCCCTTCTTTGGAAAAAGAAGCCAATTCAGTAAGTTGTGCATGATGTGATTTTGCTTCCTTTTGGTTCCTTCAGATAGCAGTGTAAGGGTGACTTACATCTTGATGACAGCTTGTCTAGCAAAAGTCTCGAAGAGCGTCGGCCATGGAAGATACATAGGCTACATAAGATAGAGCTTAGCACATTTGTACCCTGAGACAGCAAAGAACTCTCCAGGCAGAAACAAGTCCCTGTTCGCTCCACCACCCACCTCAGACATCATTCAGGTAGCCGGCTTGTTCCTGCACCACATGTTAGCAAGGCTTTCCCCACACTTCTGGTAAGTTTTGGAGTACCTTAGTTTGAGCTGCTATGACAACAGTGCTGTCAACTGGGTGGCTTACGCAAAAAACCTTATTTCTTATAATTTTGGAGGCTGCGAATCCCAAGATCAAGGTGCCAGGAACTGGGTTCTCACCAGACATCAAGTCTTGTCTGGTGATGTCTGATGAGAACCCAGTTCCTGGTTCAGAGACCTTCTTGCTGTAGCCTCAAACGGCTGAGAGAAACAGCAAGTTTTCTCCTGTCTCCTGTAAGGGCACGAATCCCATCAGGAGAGCTCCACCTTCATGACCCAGGGCTCACCTCCCAAACAGCCCCCTCCAGATACCATCACACTGGAGATTAGGGTTTCAACATATGAATTTGGGAGGAACACGTCATCCATGGTAGCTAACTCTCTGGCTAGAAGGGAATCATGGGCCCTGACAGAGCTCTAGCTGGGAAGAGGATTCCATCACCATTTGCTAGGTTCTTGGCCCTGCTTTTGAGCCTCACAAAAGACACAGTGTAAAGGAATGGATGGAAAACAAGACCTGTCTACATCTGTGTGCCTGATAAGACTCACTTCAGACCTAAAGAGACAAGCTAAAAGTGAAGGAAAAGATACTTCAGTCAGCATCTTTTCTAGGTATTGTGAGTTATTCTCCTAAATATTTTGTTTGGATTTTACTCAGTCAAGCTTTGCCCCTAGAACATTTTCTTTCTTCTCCACTGTTTAAAATTACTTTGGTCTTCTAACTTCCCAAGTATAACGGCTTCTAAAATTTTAGTTTTCTGGTAAGTGCTAGTTTTATTATCAATTAGCCTTGAGCATTTAAGGTTTTTAATTATTCAACCAGAAAGCTGTATGTTACTGGTAAGTGTTACTTGATGAGCATGTAGAGATTTGTTAAATGATATATGGAATTCATACTTTATCAAATTCTATAGAATTGACAAAATCTTAAAACTAAGTATTAATAAGAAATCGACCAACTGATCTGTTGACCTGGTCACATGTTTTTGGATCAGAGGGTGTTGCACATTAAGTGTAGCTTAAGAAAGAAGCCACAGCTGACCCAATATTTACTAGTAACTTCTAAGACATTTGCATAAAGGTGTGGATTACTACAGTTGTATTATATTTAAGTTTTTTTCTTTCGTCTGTTCAGCAGGGTGAACCTGTTTACAGGTAAACAGTAACAGTGTTAAACAGTTGAAATTCTTTTTTTTTGTTAACTTATATTTGATATTTCTTAGATTTATTTTGCTAACAAACACTGGTTCTCATCTTTTTTATCATCTAAATATAAATTGATCAGATTAACTACATTGACTTCCTGAGAGTCATCATCTGTGGAGATAAATGGTTTTTAAGACAGTACCTTTAAGACAGTACCTTTTTTACTTATACGCAGAACCATCTGGTTCTTGGAGGTAACCTGTAAGTTGGTCTCTAGGGCTCCCTTCCATGTCCCATGAGAAAGGAGGCCTAGCACTCTACAGGCTCTTGTCATTACAGGAACCAGAAGTCAAGATCGCCTTGGCACCTTCCTGTGAAGATTTTTTTTTTTTTTAAGATTTTATTTATTTGAGAGACAGAAATCACAAGTAGGCAGAGAGGCAGGCAGAGAGAGGAGGAAGCAGGCTCCCCGCTGAGCAGAGAGCCCGATGCGGGGCTCAATCCCAGGACCCTGAGATCATGACCTGAGCTGAAGGCAGAGGCTTTAACCCACTGAGCCACCCAGGTGCCCCATCCTGTGAAGATTTTAACAGTTAACCTTCTTTTCCTGATAACACAAAGCTGCCTTTCACTCTCCTGATGACTGTTTTCTGGACAGTTTAGAAGTGATAAAATCATCATAAAGGTAGTTAATGAACCATCTTTCAAACGAAGGAGTACCGCATTCAATTTTGAGATAGACACTGTGTAAGTTAGAGGTTTATAAATACCTTGAAAATTCGTAGGAATATTCACAATGAAGCACACACTGGAGGAAGGACCAGACTGAAGCAGTGTTCGTTGTGGGCAACCGAGAGATCTATTATGAGTCAGAATCGTCCTTTTTAGGGTGGTTGAATACAGTGGGATCTGGAATTTTAGTCACCAGCTTAATGACTGACACAGGATACGCTGGTGGCTAAGGGTGTGTACTCTGGTGCCAGACTTCCTAGGTTCAAATCCCAGCTGTGTTGCTTCTCAGTCATGTGACCTTGGGCAAGTTTCGTAACTGCTCTGTGAGTTGTTTTCCTCATCTCTACCTATAGCATAGGGTTGTTTTGAAGATTAAATGAGTAGTACTTACATAGCTCTTAGCACAGTACATAGCACATAGTAAGTGCTCAAAAAGCAAAGGCCGTTATTGTTCCAACACGGTAGTAATTGAAGCATAAAATGGTTCATAAATATTCCAATAGGTTTTGACCCCTCCTCAAGATCACCCTGGATGTCCATCTCCTAGAAATACAGAAAATCTTCTGAGACACAGGCTAACACTTAGCAAATTAGGTACTTGATATGAGTGGTAAGAGACGAGGGAATATGCCCCTATTACTCTATGACCCTTCTCGAGAAACGTGTGCCTTCTATGGGCCATGGTTGCACACAGACTGATGTGCCATGGAAACATATTCTACGTGGAACCCACGTTTTTGTAGGATTTTGCAACGTAGCAACTTGGGTCGGAGCCAGTACAGACATCATTGCCCCCTTATCATCAATCAGACCAGCAAGGGGACTTCTGACTAGCAATACTGACTCCTGAGAACTGCCTGCCCTTTTTCTTAGCCATTACTCTCTCCCAAGTCTATTTTGAAATTTACCTAAACTTTCTTTTGAACTGTTGTAAAACTTAAGGCATCCGTATCGTGTCAGTTTTGAACCACGTATACACACACATTAAAACCCTACAAACAGTAAATACATATAAACTTGTCTGTTTATACTCCGCCTTTTTTTCATGTTTTTAGAGAAGTTTTAGATTTAACATAGACTGCAGTAACTTCTCAGAAGATTCCTCAGCTTTAAATGAGTAGTAGTCTTTTGAAGAAAAAAAACATATATTTCCTGAGGTAGAACTTCTTTATTTTCTAACCGCCTGCAAGTTCTCCCAGTCCAGACTTGCACTTTGTCCTGCTGCAGCTTCTTCTATTACACCTGTCTCAGTCAGTCTTGAAAAGCAAGACTGATTTTTTTTTTCCATTTTGCTATTTTAAGCTACAACTGGCTACCACGGTCATGTTTATAAGACTTCACCTTAAAGCTTCCCATCCTGTGCCCAGCCTAGGTATCTGAAGAACACTGAGGCACATCTTGATATCTGCCTGTTAAACATAGCATTCCAGAATGTATTTTCCACCTGGTTGCTGTTGGAACTTTTTATTGCTGCCTTACCTTCATCTTCACTGAGTCATCTTAAAAAATAGCTTCATAAATGGAGTTGTACTAGTTGGATAAATATATAGATCTATAGATATATGTTACATATTTATAAATATAATATAAATATATATATAATGGACATATATCTATATATATTTTTGGATGGAGATATATATAGATATAGATATATGTCCATTTTATATATAAATATATATATAAATATAAAATGGACATGTATCTATATATCTCCATCCTAAAATGCTAATGAATTCAAAAAGTTAGATAAATTCGTGGAACTTTGTAAGGATTCATGACATGGGAGTTAAAGGTCCAGACACACCTTAGACTTTTTGAACTTAGATTCACTGAAGGCACTTTCTCTGTTTTTCTACTTTTCCTTGGTCCACTATAGGACACTGAACTCTACATAGTGTTGTTCTGACACCATATACTCCTCCTCATCTTTCATATCACTGTCTTCGGGAATTATGAATTAAATCCAATGACCCAGAACAGTAACATGAATCCAAACTTAACATATTCGTGGGCAAAATCTAATCAAAGTTTGTGATAGCATTTCCTTAATTTCTGTGCTGCGTTCTGATGTTGAAAGATTATTTCAATTTTTTCTGAGTTATAAGTATTTCCTACAGTAGACATTTTAAGTTGCTCATGATTGAAGAGTTACATAGATTAGGACCCTCCCAGTAACTTAGGAAACTATTCTAAAAACAGTTGGTCATATCAAGATTTAATGTTTTCTGCTACCACGAAATCCGAGCATATAGTTGAAAATGCCATTTTCAAGAACATGATTAGAAATTATTATTTTTAAACTAAGGCTTGTGGCTATTACAGGGATGTAGGGGAAAAAAACCTAGCAGCTCTGAAGTAGACAAAGTTTAATTTTAGTTCTGTAATTTGTTTATGGATGAGTAACCTTGGACAGGACATTTACCCTCTCAGAGCTCTGTAATTCGTAATCACCTGTGAAGAAGAAACCATGTACCCAAAAATGGTCATTATTGGCCCACTGCCTGGCATATAAACACCGGAAATAAATGTGCTTTTTCCTCCCCTTCACTTGGGATTTGGAAACTATGGTTTTTCTTCTTCCTAACAGTCCCCATCTCAAGGATACACATTTTTACTTTTCTCCCCCACTCTGATTTTAGTAATCACCTTGTTCTTCATTTAAGGCAGTGAATTAATAAAGTCAACAACCATGTCCACAACACCTGGAGAAGTACCAGATGATAACAGGTGTTCATAACAAAAACCTGGATGAACAGGGCGGCCCATATGTGCAGGTGCATGGCGGTGAGCAGAGCACGGCTCCCACCGCCATGGAACTCAGTCTAGCGCAAAGATGGAGATTAACAGGAAGTGACAACATGCCAAGTGTTAGGCTAGACGAAGACCAGGGCACTCTGACCCCTGCCAGGGACGTTGTGGCCCATCTGAGGAGGAGACCTCCTATAAGGATGAGACCCAAGATCCATACCTTACATCATGAGCACTGGACCAATTGAAACTTCAGTCTTCCTTCCCTCTGCCCCAGAATCACACCAGTACCACATTTGAGGACTCTGTTACCCTGTTGCATTGCAGCCTCGTTACATATTCAAATCTAGTACAACTGTTGCCTCACCTGTAAAATTACCATTGAAATACCCACCCCACCCACCTCGTAAGGCCAGTTTAGAACACAGTTAATGCTACGTAAGAATTAGACACTATTTGAATAGTAAATACCAAGATCAGTTCTCTGGAAGAAGAATGGTCAAGCATGAGCAGCTCTGAAACAGTTGGGTCAATAAGGTTGGGTTTTGTTTGAACAAGTAAACAAAGTTTGGGTACCTTGGCTAGCTGGTATTTATTATAGCCATATTTATCAAAAAGAGGATTCTGCAGTTTGTTAAATAGAACTTGATTTCTGGAACGTGGTGGCTGTGAGCAAAGACGTGAAGAATTAGACCTGTAAGATCATTTCTGCAAGTGTTCAACTTCCTGCTTATAATTTTTACTTCCTGGGTGGGTTGGTGTCCAAAACTCTGACCAGGAAAAGCAAGAGTCCTAAATTTTTTCCTGAGAGGCCTCCGTACCCTTTAAGATTTTAGTCTTTCTAACTGCCTTCCTGAGGAAATAATTCTTCCTCGTCTAAATTATACCCTAACAAAAAGTGCTTATCCACTTTCCATTAGTTCCTCACCCCATTACGGCAAACTCTCACCCAGACTATTGTCAGATGTTCTGAGGTAAATGAACTAGATTATTTGATAGCTATTTTTTTAGATTTAATCAAGACTGGATTCATTTCATAGTGAAAGTGAGGAGACGGCTCCATCTAAATGTGGCATTGCTATTTTTAGTTTATACCTTTTGGAGCTGCTGTCATTCGCTCCCACTTTATTTACTGCAACGGGGTTTTTTTTTGGTAACTGATTTTATGATCTAGCTTATATGTGGATATTAACATGGAAACATTATGCTTGGTTTGTTCTGTTTCATTTCCAGGGCCCCAATTCAGTCATGATTGTCCTTGTCATGCTGTTGAATATCGGGTTGGCCATTCTCTTTGTTCACTTTCTGACTTGACTGGAATTAGGAGAGGTAAGAATAGCCTTAATTTCTATATAAAATCACTGTATATAATATTCTTCTCCCATATTTGAATTTACATTTTTTTTTTTAACAACTGCATGTTGTCCTTCACTTTAATTTTGGCTGTGCCTGAATGTGATTCAACATAGTTACTTAATGATATAACTGTTTTGACCCTTCAGTGAAGTCATGACAACTAGCGGTGTTAGCCCGCAGTTCTCTGTTCTCTGCCGTGGCATCGTCAGCCCTTTAAATGGCACACCCCAGTCAGACTCAGACTCAGGGAAGGAGGCTTGGAATTAGGATGGGATCGCGAAAGAGATGAAACTTGGAAAATTCAACCAGAGGACCTGTTCGGTCCCCCTGGGAATGCTTTGTGGCTTTGGGGGTCCTCTGGGAGCTGAAGCAAGCATCCATGTCGGAGAGCAAAACTTAATAATCATTCTTTTTTAAACTCTGCTGAACCAGCCCCAGCCAGCGAAGTTCTTGGCATTGGCTACTCCATCTGTCCTAGCGGAGTGTGACTAAACTGGAAATGTATGGAGCTGCATTTTTTTTTTTTCCCTAATGGAAGTCAACAGCTGCCTTACTATTTTACCATCTGACGTTTTTAGTAGGGAGCTGGGGAAACAAACGACTGCCCGAGGAACGCGGTCGGAGGATTGTGTTGCTGTGGCCATGGTTCCAACATTCACTCCTATCTCATTCGAAGAAATAGGTAGCAGCATCACTCACCAGTCTTATGGCACGACCTGCTGCTTTAACATCTCCTGGAATGTTCCGGGAGAGAACGTTTCGTTGGCTTGTGCACGACTATGTTCATTTTTGCTGTTTATTGAAGTAGGATGTATAGTCCTCTACAGCGTGTGGTCCTGGCCAGAGGAAACACACTTGTTGCATCTCAAGGAAAAGAAACAACAATTAGTTCTAGAGAAGACGTGTTTGTTGCGATAGCAGTACATCTTTTTTTTTTTTTTTTCATGCCCTTTAGTCATCCTACACCTGTAATAGGCTGTTTAAAATTTAGCAGTGTTGAAGGCATTATACCTTCCTAAGAAATAATTTTAAATATTTTTAAACATTACTGAGATGAATCTTTTATGCACTTAGGTGGTGCTAAATTTTAAAAGCTGAAAGACAACAGAATTCTGAGAAGTGTAGTCAAAATGTTGCATGGATTGCAGTAATCAGCATTTAAAGGATTCAGTTTCATTGCTGACGTACTTTACAACCAAATAAAATCTTGTCAGTGACTATGTTAATTCCCATGAAAGTTAAGCAAGATGCTATTAATAACTGCTCTGATCTTTTTTTTTTCCCTCCAACTTAAATTTTTGTTGAATACATTCAGGTAGAGCATAAAGCTTTGTTAAACCCCTGCTTCTCGATTTTATGCCTTTCGTGTTTTTCAAAGTCATTTCGTAATTTTATTTCACATTTTAAAGGCTTAGACATTTTTATTTAAATACTTGTCTTTTGCAGTCGGTCCTTTGTTATTCTGACATAATCTGATTTTTTTTGCTGTTTTATAATTCATCCTTTATTACTCAGAAGCATGCTTATTACTTGGAGACACTATGTGGTCTTTATAATTATTTAAAAAGAAATCAGGGGAGGAAAGGTACCTTAAATCTCTCTAAGACATTACATTGTGGAGAAGGAGCTAGCTATTCCTAAATATTTTCACGATCTGCATGGTTTAATTGGATTCTTTTTACCTTATTTGCTACCTTTTCAATGCAGAAGAGACCACTCACGTGTTAGCACAGGTGTGGACTGAATGCTTTGTCACCTGCAGGGTAGTAACCCAGTGATGTTTTTTGCAGAAGTGCAATATGTTGAGAATCCTGGGTGTGACCAATATGGAATAAAGAAGAAAGCAGAAAGAGAGCAAATGAAAATTACAACTTGTATATTTATTTATTTTTTACATTTTGCTTTGACTTTTAAATTTAGGAAGTACGTTTTTAGCCAAGAAACGTTTAAGCTCCTGTGTCAGTCTCCGTACTCTCACTGCGCCTTCCTAACCCCGTAGCTCTTGATGCTGGGAAAATTGATTTTTTTTAAAAAAATAAAATAAAATATTTAATCTTCTTAAGTGTTTAAAATGTGTAATGCTTTGGAAATAATGGGTAACAGATAATTAAAGGATATGTTTATAAAGTAAGCATGTTGGTTCCATTTATAAATATATGTATGATTTATAAGCTTTTTTAAAAACAAAGCTCAAATTGTTGGTATTTTTCTAAAATGTGCACAGCTGTATTTTACATGAAAGGCTCTTTCTAATGGGTTGTTATACTGTGCTCTACATTTTGGACAGCACATGAAGTCTGCCAATGTACTTAATAAAACATGACCTTGTTTATTTAAAGTTCCTTGCTGTGAAAAAGAACTCCCTACGTGTGAGTTCCTTTATTTATAATCCTCGAAACCAAAATGTCTAATGTACAGTTTTCACAACTGTATCCGCTCTAATAAAAAAAAAAAAGTTGGTTATTAATAAAGTTGCAGGTGTATTTCCTTTGTGAGTAAATTACTGTCTTGAGTTGTATGGAATTTGGGGGTTGGTGGGTTGTATTAAAAGAAAGATCTGCTGAGAAACTGACAGTAGAAATTGGGTACAAAATGCTCAAAGCAGCCACACGGGAGGAGGTAGCTGTACCATTATTTCTTTCTACATTGCTTTCATCCTGGGCTTTTCAACTGATTTGGTAAAATAAGATTCCTTTATCTGTTTAGTGCCTTCATTAATGGGATTAGTTCCTTAGCCAGGGTTTTAAGCCTGCTCCTGTTTTTAAGGAAAACTCAAAGTTGGAGTAAATCCACCTCCTGCAAGGATACTTTTCAAGTAATTAAAGTTTTTGGGTCATTGTGCCCCAAGTAAGTTAATATGTTGCTATGGTCCCTGTTGAGACACACTTCAGGAAGTTCGGGCACACTGTGCCTAATAAACTTGCCGCCACTAGAGTTTCCAGCCACTGGGCTCCCTCTGAAGCCCTCGGTACCGGCCCAGGACACCCCGACCCCCTAGCAAGCTGCCTATGAAAGACACTGAAAGGCCCACCTCCAAAACAGCTTCCCAGGGAGCCGCCATGGTGTTTTCACCTTCCCAAATGAGCCCATTCCTATTGAAGGCTAAGGTCTTGCAGACCCCTGTATAAAGAATGCATAAAGTTACCACCTCTAAGTAGTCAAAGACTGAACAACTTAAGTGATTCATCTCCCAGTAAATCCTGAAAGAATGGAACACAGACTTGTCCGGAGCAGGCAGGAAAAGCACAGGGTGCTAGAAAGATTATCGATTCCCGGTTCAGGTCCAAACCACACGTTTTGATGGTGGAAGCCAAAGCTGGGGTGAAGACTTTGTGGTTGGGAAATCTGGAAAATATTCTCCATGCCCTTTGAATGCAGTAACTATTTCAGGAACAATGGTAAGCCGGCTCCCCAGGCATACGCTCGACGGCACTCGCAGCCCTCCTCCCACACTCTGGAAACTTGAGCAGCCTCGTCTTTCCCACTCAGTATGTGGCTGCACACGTGGCCTGTTCACGATCAGCACAGCATAACCAGCGGCTCGTCGGGCTGAGTTTGATTAGCCTGGGTTTGTAAACTGTCTACATCCACCATTTACTTCTTACCCCGAAGGTACTGACAAGGACCTCCGTGTTCTGTACTAGCCCCTATAGGAGTCTCATGTATGGGAATAGGAGGGGAAATAACAAAATACATAGAATAAAATGAACAGTCTTGAATGCAGTGAATATGGATGAAATTCTCGGCTACGGTCATGGCTGATTATGGATTTTTCTCTCGTCTGTGCCCTGGTTTCCTCATGTATAAAATGGGTGTAACTAGAGCCCTGACCTTCACAGCATGGTTGTGAAGGTGAAATGAGCTCATTTAAGTTAAGGGCTTAGTAACTGTTGTGTTAGGCTTTGCCAGTTGGAAGAACAAAGAAAAAAATTTTTAATTTCTGTAACTGTCTCAAACACAGTAACAAATAGAGTGAGATTCCACTATAAAAGCCTGTTTTTAAAAGTTAATTATGCCACAGGTCATATTATGCTCTTTCTTCAGTAGTGAGGACTGTAAAAATCAAAGGCCATACTTCACCACAGAGTGCCTTCTCTATGCTAAAATGCAATTTTCTGTATAGTGTGGTGTGAGACGTTTGTTTTACAAGGAATGTTCACGTCAGTGACTCATTAGATTCCTACAAGATCCCTTGGGAAGAATTCCTGCAGTTAAATGACTTGCCCAAGGTTGTGTAGCCAAAAAGTCATAAAAATTTGTATCCGAGTCCCAGATCGGATTCTAAATGTGCTTATTCATTTCATATTCTTGGTTAATATTCCTCCGCACTGTCATACTTACCAACCATAAAAGGCCAGAAAACATGATAAAATGCAGGTAATAGTACGGGTTGAATGAACCCATTTCCGTAAGTCCCTTGATGTCACTTGGTTAATATAATAACTACAGTAGAGTTTATTAAAAGTTCTGAATAATGTATTTACAGTCCTGTTTAATGACTTCTAGTAAGGTATTTATGATAATATTTAGTATTTTATAAGGTTCAAAATTAACAAAGGCTTAGCATCTAAATGATGTTTTGGAGTGAGAAGCATGTTATACATGAACTATGTGTGTGTTTGAACTTGATTTCAAGGATTAACCCAGAAATTGCCCGTTGCATCCAGAAGACCTAGAAGATTTAGATAAATACCAGGACGTTCTTTTGTGACATCATCCATGTTCCATACAGTATACTTGGTATGCTCTTGATCCCAAATCTGATTTAAGTAAACTATTAGAATTAACTCTAAAGCAAAGCCCTAAGGTCTGTTTGGCTGGTGATTAGGAAAGCAGCTCATATACCAACATAAAGAATATAGCAATCTTTGAAGAGAATTCTGGCGAAACGATCTGGAGGGAGAGACAGACTCAGCGGAAGATTACGGTACTCCTGGACAAGTCTTTCCTTCCCATCCTTGCCCCACACAAGCTCATTCATGAAATATCAAGAACATCAAAGGTCCAATGGAATTATGATAATACTTGCTTCAGGGAAAGCAACGGAGGTCTTTGGTTTTAGGAATGTATGTCACATGTCACATTCCTGCCACATATTATGGCACATACTTGGAAGAAAAGAATCTGATGAATATCATGTCCCCCATGCAATAAAAGCAGAAGCAAAGGTGAGAAAAAGCCAAAGGTTCCGTAATCTTCTCATGTTCTGGCCATGTTCTAACAATAGCTTCCAACCACCAGAGCAGATGCCTAGAGTCAGGTAGCTGCTTCTGATAGAGGCCAAGAGGATGCTCAGACATAGCCTTGTTGCAAAGCTAACAGGGGTGGAATCCATTAA